AAAGAAATTTAATTTAAAATTATTAAGATTAAGATTAACATGTGTGGTTATTGACATGTATGGTTATTAGTTGATATGTTAATATACTTTGTCAAATTGAAATTCAAATTAGGTAATTAAATGATGGACGATCATAGTTGGATAGATCATCGTGTGGATAATAGTGGTTTTGTTACTGATAAATTTAAAGAGGGGGTGCAATTTTTTGTGAGATTTGCATTTTCAAGACCGAAAGCAAAATCAGAGATTAAGTGTCCTTGTTCGAAATGTAAATGTAGAAAATGGGGGAATCCTGAGGTCGTCTCTGTGCATTTGTGTAAGCATGGGTTTATGAAAAACTATTATACATGGTATGTTCATGGAGAGACATCTAGTAATACAGTAAGAAACTTTGAAAGGGAATCTTCTAATATGGAGTTTGTTAGAAATGAGGTAGATGCATTATACCATGAAATGGTAGTTGATGCAATAGGTGCACAGTCTGAATACAATGACAGGCCAATGGTTGAGGAGCCAAATAGTAAGGCAAGAGAATTTTATGATCTCTTGCATGCTGCAGAAGTCCATATAGGTACTGGGGGACAGGATGTTACAGTACTTTCATGGATGGCAGAATGCTAAACATGAAAACTTTTTATAATATGAGTGCTGCTAATTGGGAAATGGCATTGTCATTGAGTCGAAAGTTGTTGAGTCCAGAGGACCAAGAAAAGGTGCCAAAGGATGTCTATAGTGCAAAAAAAAATGATAAATGTGCTTGGACTTGGATATAAGAAAATTTATATTTGTGTCAATGATTGCTTCTTATACTATGATGAGCAAAGTAAGAATTTAACTGCTTGTCCAATGTGTGGAGAATCTCGTTATGAGCCAAGGAATATGTCTGCTATAAGGCAGAAAGATGTTCCAAGGAAATCTTTGTGGTACCTTCCAATTACCCCAAGATTGCAGCGACTATACATGTCTAGAAAAACAGCAGAGCATATGACATGGCATTTGAAATGCCGTGAGGATGCAGATGAAGTTATTCATCCTGCGGGTAGTGAGGTATGGAAACACTTTGATGAAACCCACCCAACATTTGTTGATGAACCTAGAAATGTTAGACTTGGCCTCTGTACAGATGGTTTCAATTCATTTGGTTGCTCTGCAACACCTTACTCTTATTGGCATGTTTTTCTTACAATATACAACCTTCCTCCTAAATTGTGATGAAGTCAGAGCATATATTTCTTGCCATGATAATTGCTGGACCTAAAAGTCTAGGAAAAAACATTGATGTCATGCTTAGGCCATTAATTGATGAACTTAAGGAATTGTGGACAAATGGGGTTGGAACTTATGATAGTTCTAGACAACAGAATTTTATCATGAAAGCTGCATTGCTATGGACTATAAGTGATTTTCCAGGTTATGGCATGTTATCTGGATGGAGCACACATGGGAAGTTGTCATGCCCTTATTGCATGGAGAACACTAAGGCTTTTCAACTTTAATATGGGACAAAAACATCATTTTTTGATTGTCATCGTCAATTTTTACCTCCTAAACATCCATTTCGTAGAGATAAGAAGAATTTTTATCTCAATAGAGTTG